TAGAGTCAATTACGACTCACAGTGGCCCTATAGGTCAGAGCAGAACTGGCCCATATGGGTTCCAAGGCTGTAAATCTTTATGGAAGCTGATTTCATATCTTTCTCCCACAGAATGGCCAGGTGGGTTCAAATTGTCAATCTTTTGTTTAGCAGCCAAGTGCTTTACCGCTGCGCCACCAGGGCTCCTATAAATTTTATATAGACAACACGAAATATAATGTCTTTAAAGAGAATATTATGAGGCCGTTAACATATTTTCATCAGGTGCATATGATATGATATTAATTAAAAACTAGGATGCAAAACATGGGGGTCTTATGAGTGATTATGTAATTTATAAAAGAATGATGCTGCACCCATAATATTGCTAGGATTATCATAACTTTTACTTTGACACTTAAAAAGAAAAATGCATTTATGTACAGTGACGTGATATTGCCACTTTGTATTTTCAATAATAAAATGGACCCTTTAGATGAGGGATCAAACATTTCCATAAAGAATCAGCCAGTAAGTATTTTCAGTTTTGGGGGCCATGTATGTTTCTGCCATATCTTTTTTTTTTTTTTTTTAAATAACCCATTGACAATCTAGAAAACATAATCACAGGCTCTTGGCTGGCTGTGGCCTGTAGGCTGTAGTTTGCAACCCTTGTTTCAAATGTCTATCCCTCTATTTCTTCCAGCTTTTTTAGTACGGAGAATCTGTGTACTATTTCCATGTGTAACTAGCATGACATGGACTTTTTCCAAGATGCTTCAGCATAGCTAGCCCGATTCAAACTGGCTTGTTCTCTGAGACTTAACTCATTTTATTTACTTTGGTGAAGAAAGCTAAACTGTAAATGCAGTATGTGATCTTACAGTCCATTAAGGTAGCCATCTGTCACATATGGCAAATTAAACTCATTAAAATTAAATAAAAAAACGGAATCAGTTCCTTGGTCCCACTAGCACATGTATGTGGCAGTGCCCTCCAGACAGCTCTAATGGATGGCGCTGTCTGCAGGAAATACCTACCAGTCCTCTGGGGCTCAACTCTGCGATGAGTCTGAGTGCGTCAAGTCTCCTTCAGAAAATACCACCCACGGGCAGAGCTCAGAGAAACTCGGGGTGCCATTCCAGACCATCATAATAAAGCGAGTGTCACAATCAAGCATGCATTATTTTTTTCCCAGCAAATATGTAAGTTATGTAGACATGATACTGTAGTCTACTAAGTGTGAAATGATATTATGAAAACGTTTGAAATATTGTGACAGTGACCAAAATGGGACACAAAGGGAACACATGCTGTTGGAAAAATGGCGCCAAGAGACTTGCTTGGCATGGGGTTGCCACAAAACTTCAGTATGTAAAACTCACAGTATCTGTGAACCACAATAAAACGAGGGGTGACTGTAGAGACAAAGGAAAGACGAGTACAAGGAGATGATGATGGGACTCAGAGTTGGACAGACCCAGAAAAGCATCAGAAGGTTGATCAACTTTCCCAGGTTCAGAAACAAATCTACCACTGTGGGCTGTGTGACCCAGTGTGAATTACTCAGCCTCTCAATGGCCTCGTTTCTCTGACTATTAAAGCAAGAATCTTGATACCTACCTGGAGTGAGTTTAGAGCAGAATCAACAAGGTTGTCTACGTCACAATGAGTAGGACCATTATAATTTGAGGAGCTACACACACATGTTCACATCGCCTCACATCGCCACACATGGAACGACAATCACATATTCACAAAGAACTATTTCTTGCCCACTCATGGTTGCTTCAGAACACAGGAAAAACACCTTGCATTTAATGCATGCCGAAACTGCTGCAGCTGGTTATACTCTGGGAACAGCCATCAGCTGCCCTTGCCTTCTGGGGTTTTCAGTACCCTAAGGTTTCACATCATCATTTTTTTTTTTTTTTTTTTAAAAGGCCTCTGTGGCTGCTGGCGACCCTTTCCCTCACAGTGAGGAGTTAGCTTGGTGTGAGATTCACAGTTTGGGATTGAGATGCCGGACATGGCCCCGCAAGGAGGATTCTCGTCCGTCTCCCATCCCTTGCCTTGCATGAACCAGGTGCCTCTCAGCGACCCCATCCCTCCTCCAGCCAGCCTCAGAGGCAGTCCCTCGATCCCTCCAGGCTCATTTGTGAGCTCTGATCCAGGGAGGTCCTGCTAGGCTTTCATGGGGGTGTCATGGGGTGTACATATATTGTGTCAAACAGATGAGGTGTTGATTGTGGCTGAAGATCTTTGAAGGGGGCAGACTTGGAAGACAGAGGGGCAGGGAGGTGGGTGACCATGCTGAAGTGGGGGGCACTTTATGTCTCCACCCTTCTCTGGGAATTGGGGTGGGGGTACGGCCCACCCTCAAACCCCCATTGCAGGCAGGGGAGTCTCTGTTGTCCCACATCAACCCTGGGAGCTCTTGGCCATATTTATATTTAGTCCTCTTCCCCTAGCACTTGAAGGCTGTACTTACATGTATTACGGACTTTTTAAAAAGGGCATGGATACTGTAGTTGTCCTCCCAGGTAAATGGGGGAGAACCACATTTTTCTCTCTGGTTCCTCATTGGAGTCAAACAGCGCAGAATAGAGCAGCCTTGCAAACAATCACTAGCCACAAAATCCCAACCCAACCTACTGCCTTTGAGTCACTTCCGAATCATAGCACCCCTAGAAGACAGAGTAGAACCGTCCTACAGGGTTTCCAAGGCTGCTATCTTTACAAAAGCTGATTGCCACATCTTTCTTCTGTGTAGCAGATGGTGGGCTCAAACCGTCAACCTTCAGTTCTCAGCCAAGTGCTTTACTTGCTGAGCCACAAGGGCTTCTTCACTAGCCACAGGCTAGTTCTATTTCCTCACACAGAACCTGGTGTAAAGAATGCCCATGAAGCATCTTTGGCTAGACTCGGGTGCCTTTTGGACGGCCTGAACGTTTCATTTAAGTGATTTTTATATTAATTTGCAAAGCTGTGATGAAGGCAGGCAACAGGCTATATATCACTTCCTCCCTCCCCTGTTCCTCCCCACCCCCCAGCCCTCCCACAACCCAATGCCCCATGTCCCATCCATAGGACCCCATCCTGAGCGGGCTGACAAGCATGCCTGGGATACCTGGGAAGTGAGGGTTGACACATGCGTGGTGATGAGCAGAGGGGTTGGATGCTAAGGCAACAAGGACATGGAAACATGCTCATGGGACTCAAGGTCATCTCTGGGAGAGACGCAGGGGTGGGGCGGAAGGGAGGGAGGGAACTGACAAGGCGGGGGAGGTGATCAGACTGGGATTTACGTCACAAAACAAAAAGAGAGGCAGGACAGGGGGCTTACTTGCGGAAGTGTATACAAGTGAACTGGGGGTACTGTACACGGAGGATCCCTCCTGGTTGGCCTGGCACAACAGCACCGTGCCTACGAAAGAGAGAGAGAGAGATGGCATCTGGTTTGGGGACAGGCACACTGTACCTGAGCAACAGCGGCAGTGCGAACGAGAAAGGCAGAGAAATGAACACACGGCCACATTCCAGAGCACAGGACGGGGACACCCACAGAGGGCCCCCGCCTTAGCCAGGGGAACATGGCAGAAGCCCACCCCCCAGCCCACCAAGCACATGGCACTGCTTTTCGCCTGGGGTTGAGCAGTGGGACCCTGTCTTAGACTCAGATCGGGAACGGAGGCAGCATGGCATGCTCAGGACATTTTGTAAATATCAGGGCTAAGCCTGGCTCAGCCACTGCTGAGCTGTGTGCTCTTGGTAGGTCACTGCACCTCTCTGTGCCCTGAGATTCTCATCTTGAAAAGAGGAGCTGACATATACCTACCTCCAAGAGGGTTGGGTCATCTCCCTAGAGATGTGCTTGACACAGTGGCTAGCATGCAATGGCCACACAGTAAGTGGTAAGCAAACGCATGGGTAGGTTTGGAGGAAACCTGTTGCTCCTTCAACCTGCGTCTTCCTGAATCAGTTCCTTGGAGGAAGACCATGAGGAAGGCAGGGAAGAAAGCTTTCATTATCACCCTGCACCACAGTAGACTCTGCTAAGGCCGTTTTGGCTCCTGCCTTTCCTTTCCCTTCCCTAAAGCTCTGTCTTCCAGCTGAAGAGGCCGCGTACCTCCCCTGCAGACAGACCCTGCAAGGCAGCGACACCTTCCTTCAACCTGATTTAAAGCAAAGGGTGCTGGGCTCATCCTTGAAAGATGGGATTTTACGGTGGTGAAGGGCGGTGGAATCTGGGGCGTCCCCTTGATCTATGACATGTTTTGGACAAACACCTGCTCTGAGGAAGACCAGGATCAGGAATCTTTGGGGCATCCATTCTTCCCTCCTGCAGCTGCCAAGTTCATACTCAAAGACTTTGCAAAAGAATTTAAAGGACTTTGGAGAAGTGGTTCACATGTTATGGAGACTGGAGATGGGCTCCTGGGGCTTCTATTCGCTTCCTCTGGGCACGGAAGATCAAAGGCCCCCATTTGTTCTTGGATTCCTCTGTCACCACCAAAACTGAAAGGCAATCTTCCATGAAAAGAACCCCATCCTGGGAGTCCACCCCCTGGGGCAGTGAGCACTCCTTGGTCCTTGGAGACTGGCTCTAGGGAATGGACCTACAGTACCTTCCCCGTCATCAATAAAAGTGTGGTAGAAACTTCCAGAGCGTGTGGGATTGGGCTGAAGAGAGAGGGGTGCCATCAAGACACAGACATCTCTCCTGAACTACAGAACTGGATAGAACCATCATGTAACGCGAGCTGAGAACGCCTTCCCCACATCCCACTGCCCTCCTCTGTGCTCAGTGCTTCTGCATTTTGAAAGTTCTTTCCAGATAAACCTCTGAATGAAGACGGGGCAATCTACTTCCCTAGTGATGTGGTTGTTATGTGCCCTTGAGTTGGACCCGACTCATAGCGACCCTTCCTTGGGTTTCCGAGGCAGTATCACTACGGAAGTAGATTGCCCCATCTTCCTTCCGAGGAGTGGCTGGTGGGTTTGAACCTCCAGCCTTCTGGTTAGCAGTCAAGTGCCTTAGGCATTACACTACCAGAGCTCCTGCCTTGGAAACCTAAGGAGGGGTCACTATGAGTTGGATCTGACTCAACGGCAGTGATTTTTTTTTTTTTTTTTTTTTTTTGGATTTCCAGATAAACCAAGATTTTATTAACACTCTCTGGAGGTACAGTAGAATTTTGATTTTATTTTTTCTTTTTGCTTTGCCAGCACCTTGACATAGCCTGAGTATTAAAAACAGTAATTTTCCAGGATTTCTTTCTTTTTTTTTTTTTTTTTTTTGGCACATACATTAAAATCCCTACCCCATCTCTCACTTCCCCATCTTCAGCTTACTGCACTAGGAGAAGCAGCCACTGTTCAGGAATTCTCCCAGCAGGAATGCCCTGTAGCCCTTCTCATGGTTTCCCTGGTATGAAAGTGGGCACAAAGGGGAACATTCAGGAATTAACTGACCTTCTCTTGGAAGCAAATCTATTAAGAGCCTGGATGGGCCTAGGCCATGATCAGCCTTTGCTGCATTGTCAGTTACTTCCACTGTAATGTCGGACCTTGAGGATGAACCTTCACAGGTCTAGTTTCACCTCACTTGGTGCTTCTCCAGTTTGGGCAGGTAACTGGCATGATGAGGAATGAATGAATCAGATCCCAGATCATTGGGGGTAGGTCTTAAACCACCAGCAGAGGGCACCCAAGCCACCAGGGAAGACACAGCACCCCTCCACCAGCCTGAGTCATCAGTAGGTGCTCCTGTGTGGCTGCAGCCTGTGTGACTGCTCCTGTGTAACTCCAGTGTTTTTGCTCACGGCCTATGGAAAAATTAGCACAACCAGACACACAGAGATCCCCCAAACAAGACTCTTCTAGACTGGAACCCACTCAGTGGCTTTTGGAAAAGCCCCCCAAGTGGGTCTGTCATATTTGTTGTTGTTAGGTACTTTGGAGTCAAAATCAATTCATGGTGACCCTATGTGACAGAGTAGAACTGCCCCATAGGGTTTTCTAGGCTACAGTCTTTACAGGAGCACCAGGTCTTTCTTCCAAGGAGTTCTGGGTGGGTTTGAACTGCCAACCTTTTGATCAGCAGCTGAGCACTTAACCATTGCACCACCAGGGCTCCTTCTTTCATGCACCTCTGGTTCAAATGCAGTTTTTAAATGAGATCTAAAGTTACTTGAGGTACTTAGGCTTCTAAAGAAAAATAATCTAATGATAGCAAAAATATATCTAGAAGAGTGTTTCAGTACTAGACAGTCAAACCCCTCAGGTCAGTTTGCTACATCCTCAATGCAATTTATAGAATCCTATTGGAACAGAATGTAGATTCCTTACAGAAAGCTGAATCCCATCAGGACATAAGGAAGCTTTCTTCATTTTCTGAGACTGTACATTCTCAGAAACGGGCCAAGATGACTCCATCGGTTGCCCTCTTTAGTAGTTATTTATTTATTTTTTTTTAAGAAAGGCTTCATGTAATGATTTTGACCTTTGTAAAGCACAATCTATACCGTCAAAGGACTTGGTTTTTAGTTCACTGAAAAACATCATCCAATTTAATTTGCAAAGTACTTATCATATGTTCTCTTAATACTTTGTGACCTTTCTTAAAAAGAATCTTCAAATGAAACAACTAGGCAGAAAAGAAGACTGTAACCTCCATGGATGGGGAGTGGGCGGACTAATAGGTATTTGCTTTAAAAAGCAAGTCAAACAGCTAATAGGGTACAAGCATCTGTCTGAGGAGTGTTTACAAGGTCATTCAAGGCAGTTTTCAATACAGCCCCAACCTAGCTTTCCACTGAGTCTCCTGAGTGGAGTCTTCTACTGGTCCTTCCGTAGACCATCCACCTCCAACTACCATGAGTTTCTTATAACTAAGTGACATCCATCCTTCTGAGACGTTTGTGCCTTTGCTTATGAAGCTCCTTATAATTAAGGATAATAACTATGCACAATTTATACCACTATTCATCCATTCCTTAGCCAGGACAGACATCACCAATCAAGTTCAATCTTACCTACCCTGTTCTGACAGCCAGGACAGACATCAATAATCAAGTTCAATCTTACCCTATTCTAACAGCCTGGAATCATCAGAATCATTCTTAACACAGTTCCTAGGCAGTTACTACCATTCAGTCAGTGTTGTTGCAGGGGATGTAACCACAATGCTCTTTCTGTCAGGTTAAAGCACATGAAATTGACCTCTTTTATATCAAATATGGGTGAACACTGATCATTTCATATTATTCAACAGCACCCAACAACAACTTAGTCCCAAGTTGATTTGATGCCTTGTCCAACCTCTGGATGAGAAATATCCACCACCTCCACTGCAACTAATCCACTTGTCAAAATTCCGAAGCCCTGTCCCAGCTGGAAATATTCTTCAAGGCTAAAGGTTTTAGTGACTGTGCTTAACAATCTGCCATAGGGTTTTAAATCCAGCCAAGGATGCCTTTGGGCAGAATACATCTTCTCTCCATGAGAAACCACCACTTAGAAGACTGGTACAAGATGTGGTGGAAAGGGGTGCAAAGAGGAGAAATATGAACTCTTAAGGTCTTGTCTTAGAGCTGAAAAATACTGAAAAACAAAAAACCCATTGCCAAGGAACTGATTCTGACTCCTTGTAGAGATCCTGAAGGACAGAGTAGAACTGCCCCCGTAGGGTATCCATGGCTAGAAATCTTTTTGGAAGTAGACTGCCACATCCATCTCCCATGGAGTGGTTGGTAGGTTTAACAACTGAGTGCTTTAACCACTGAGCCGCCAGGGCTCCTTAGAAAAAGCACAGGTTTCAGAGAATTTTACTTTTAGTTCTGTTTCCCAGCCACATTCATGATAAGTTATATACCTTGGGCAGGTCATTTAACATGTCTGAGCTTCAGTTTTCACATTTGTAGAACAGAGACAAAAATGTCTACTTCATCAAGCTTTGTTGTAAGGATTAGAATGTTATATGAGAGTGTGTGGCAAATAGTGGATGACCTGTTGCGTCGGACCCGACTTCTAGCGACCCCTCCTTGGGTTTCCGAGGTTGTATCACTACGGAAGTAGATTGCCCAACCTTCCTTCCGAGGAGTGGCTGGTGGGTTTGAACCGCCAGCCTTCTGGTTGGCAGTCGTTCCTTCAGGCGACTTCTTTCCTAGCTGCTCTCTGATTGATTGTGACTCCTGGTGCTGCCATGTGTGTCACAGTAGGACTGTGCTCTGTAGGGTTTCCAACAGCTGGTTTTTTCACCATAGATCACCAGGCCTCTCTTCCAAGGTGCCTGAGATGGACTTGGACCTCCAACCTCTCAGTCTGAAGCTGAGAGTGTAATTACTTCCAAATTGAGAGTCAGTGGGCCATTTAGCTTGACTACTAAAATGATGTTAAACATAATCAATTTAGTTGATAACTTTT